GCATTGGTGTGGAATGTTTCTGTGAAAATAAATATGTCAGCCCAGTCACACGTATATTTTCCATTGGACCTTTGCTATTTTATGTTGTTTCTGTAAGTAGTTAATATTCTACTATAAATCATTACCATTTTACACGCCCAAATGTTAATAATAGATCGTTATTTATGTTTCTTAGTTTATCCTGAAGGGAAGAAGGATAAGGAGGAGTAAGGAAATGAAAAGCTATAGATTTAATTTATGGCTTTAGCAAATACCTTTCACTGCACCTTTCTTAACTGTTTACACAGTGGCCTTTGGGGTGCAGAGATAGCTATATATCTTCTTGATGAAATGCCAGCTCCCTTTAAAACCTAAGGTATCTCCAAATAAATTGTGTTTGCTACACAAGTTATTTTAGGTTCATTTATTTGAGTCTCTGTCACATTTTGCATACACTCCTAAACAGGTTCTTAGGAGGAGGCATGCATGTTCCTGGTGTGTTTGGAGACAGAACGAGTCCTTAACTGGTCTAAAATGACAAAATTACTCTGATTCAATACATATTTTCCCCCTTCTCAGTTGTTCTGTCCTGTGGTCTATTCACCTAAAACAGTCTCAACAAAGCACATGGCCACTTTCCTCTGCATTAGCAGGTGGAAAGCTAAGTGCTTAGCTTTAAATAAATAGACTCCTAGTCTATAAGGAAACTCTCCAGTCTGTTGCTGGTAACACCAAAATGTTGAGAGTTCATATTCACTATGGTTAGCAAATAGATCCAAAGGCGGGTAAATATGTCCTGCAACCAGAATCAATCCTGTTTAACAAGCATAATTGATCAATGAGTATATTTTCCATTAAAAACTGTTGGCACTTTGAATTTAGTGAGTTCTTGACAATAAATATATGTATTCAAGGTCATGGTGTACATGATACATTTTCATACTTTCTGCAATAGCAAGTCCAGAACAGGGGGTTTAAATCATTGCCTGGGTAATGGCCTGGATAGACTTGTTTCAGCGCTCCTGGAAGTATTGGTTTCTGAAATTGCTTGTGTAAATCACGGGGATTTTTAACAGCTTCATTGTTAGACAGTAGTAGCCCTAGCTTTGTGTTACTGTACTCCTCAATTGCAAGGAAATAATTGGAAATGCTTAGACGTTTAGAATGTGGCTCTTAGAAGAAACATCACCAAAAAAATTATTGGCCAAGGCTGAAAATAAAAATCTATCCCACAGCAGTAAGAGGAAGTGTGTGTGTGTGTGTCTTGATAAAGGTCACTCTTCTGTTAAAAGATAGAAGAGCAAAATCTATAGGGTTCCTGTTTACCCAGCAAATGTGGTAAGTCAAATACAGTCATTTCAATCACCAGTTCTTTCAAGTCTCTGGATACCTTCTCTGGTATCTGGAATCACAATATATTTTAAAAATATGGTCACAATTAAATCTTAATATGGAAAATGCCAAAAGAATGGACATCAATGTTCCTCAAAGGAATACTCTGGAAAGCAAAATTATAAAAGCATCAGGATTACAAAAGTAAACATCAGGGCAGACTTTTCACTCTGCCAGACTCAACAAAGACCGTGTCACTTGTGCTAACACTCCAGGAAGACACTGAAGTGCTAAATAAATAATGGATGATCTTGAAACACAGTGTTAATCTGACATTTACACTGTTGTTAACAAACATGTGAACAGTGAATTTGCTTCTAAGCTAATACATAGATGTTCATGGTAACCATTAGAAGAGACTGGAGAGTGGATCTAGAAGTATTGGGATCTGTATTTCTTTCACTACTTCCCAACATCCACCATTCACGCCAACATAGTAATTTTATTAAGTGTGGTTGTTGATTCATCAACTGTTCACTGAGCCTAAAACACACACACACTCTCTCTCTCTCTCTCCATATATATATATACAGTGAAGACAAGAATACAGACCCTGACTTGAAAATGCCAAGGATAGGTAGATAAGCCATCACAGTACGTTCTGTGAAAAATACATATAGTTAATTTGATAATTATTCACAAAGCATTCTTGATCATTTAGTATGTCCCAGGCACTGTGTTGTTGTTGTGTGCCATTGAATCGCAGCTGACTCCCCAGTGGATTTTCAGAAACAATAAATCGCATGGAGTAACCACCCGTCTTTCCAAAGACCAGTTGGTGGATTCGAACTGCATGCCTTTGGGATTGCAGTTCAGCTTCCTACTACTGTAAGTTTTCATTCTGCTTTGTCCAAAGCATTTCAAGTGGTAACATGCTGAGATTCAGTTATGATACAACCAAGATAAAAAGTAGCTCCCTTTTCTGGCCTCAGAGTGTCTTTCTTTCCCCAAAAAGTTCATATTATATACAATTTGACTTAAATACCTCTCATAATCTTAATTATAGACTTTATTTTGCTTTTCTTTTCATAAATAATTTTCTCTAGGAAATTGTTCAGCTTGTCATTTTTGTTGCAGTCATTAAGGGGGAAACAGATTTCCATTGCAATCTTTCATTTTTATTTGTTTCCTGGAATCTTTATTTTGTACTTGCATATTCTCTTTCTAGTTTTTGTTCTCACTGGGGAATGTTCAACAGTGAGCAGGAATTCTATTTTTTCGAAATATGCTCTCTTTTTTAGGCTTTCTAGCTTATGTAATTGTGGTTTTAAGACACACATTTCACTTTGAGAACAGTTTTGGAAAGCAAGAAAAGGTAAACTGAGATGGACAGAGAGAGTAATGGTGTACCTAGGAAAGGTTACCAATTTCTTGTGGCAAACAGCAGACATAAGGAAAGGATAAAGGAGTAAGAGATTCCTCTTCTTTTTTTCTGAGGGAGACACCATCCTTTAGCCTCTCTGTCCTTTTTTGGGACTAAGTGTTACCAAACTCTTCTTCATGCTATATTCTCTTCATAGGTCCACTTCCTTTGGCCTTAGAGATGCACAGCTCAACCATTACCCCTTATATTAAGTTTCTAGGTGTTTGTTTGGTTTGTGTATTTTTTTTTTATCCTCACATCTCTCAGGCATACTCATCTCTTCTCTGAAATTTAATGCACCTATACCTAAAGAGGAAAAAAAAGTAGTTGTTGCTGAGTCAATACCAACATATAGCCCCATGTGTATCAGAGTTTAACTGTGCTACCTAGCATGTTCGTTGGTCCATTTTTCTGAAGTAGATCACCAGGTCTTTTTTCCTGGGCACTTCTGAGTGTACAGAAACCTCCAATCTTTTAGTAAGACGCTTGAACATGTAAGCCATTTGCATTGAGCGTGTATTGCTTAGTTAAAATCTGTCTGTTTTTAGCTATTACTGTTTGCAGAGTTTCTGGGTGGCCTGAGGAGGCCTACCAGTTTTATTTTTTAAACATAATTGTCATAAACTAGTAAGTTCCACCTTTCATTTCTCAGATAATACTATCAATTTCTTAGGCCTTATGCAAAATCTGGTAAATTAAATCATCTTAAGAATCCTATGTGCATGAGGTCAGATGAGAGCTGTAGGAAGAGCCAAATTTGGCCCGGCCCTTGCTTGCATCACCTTTCTGATGACCCAGTCAGCATGGTCACCCTTTAATTTAGATCTCCCCCATATGGCACCTTAGTCCTTTTATACCCTAGGGTTGCACTAAGGGATGATTACTCTTTACCCTTCCACAAAGATCAGTCAAAACTGAGATTTGACCCAGAGAATTTTAGACTAGCTATAGCTCCCCCCTCATTAAGAAGCTTTCATCAATGAGTTCTGCTGAGATAATTCAGTATCTGGGGATTTGTAGATCTTAAGATGGAATTTTATTAAATGACACCCATCTCCTTTCCCCAGTACCAGTTCCTTTCTTTTAGATCAGATGATAATCTCCTTACTTGCTCAGGCACATGCTTCATCTCTCACATCCTTTGAACAGGTGGTGAGGAGGATCTGGTCCTTGGAAAAGGATATCATGCTTGGAAAGGTCAGAGAAAGGGAAGACCGTCAGCAAGATAGACTGACACGGTGACTGTCATAGTGGGCACAGGTATAGCAGAGTTGGTGAGGATGGCAGAGGACAGGGCCACACTCAGTTATCTCGTTCATAAGGTCAGTATGACTAGCACTCAACTTGACGGCACCTAACAACAATACCAACAAACCCAGGCAAGTAGCCATTCTGCTGGAATTATAGAAGAAATAAAACTTAACTGTTATCAGCTCTCAGCCTTCACCCACTAGCCCCCGTAGGTTGACTGCTACTAGAGACAAGGACTTCAGGAGTGAAATCAAGTGACAACTCATTGATTAGTTGAGGGGGGTTCCCTCCTGATATTTCTGTCGCTGTTTCTTCACTTAAGGAATCATCTGTGCATCACTAATATTTTTATGAGTATCATTCACAGTCATGACCAAAGAAAACACAACAAATATCTTTAAAATATGAACACCCTGGATCTTCTTTCCCAAAACTCTAGAGCAAGACTTTGTCTCCAATGAAGTCTTGTTACTTTCGTATGTCAGTGTGGTGGTTTGGTTTGTTTTTGTTTTGTTTTGTTTTGTTTTGTTTTTGAGGGGTGGGGGGTGGGGGAAACTCGCTTATGGATTAATTGTATAATTTTAAGCATATTTTAAATATGTAAATATTTATAAACATGAGAGGACTTATTTCCCTACCTGTGTGCAGTTTCATAATTTCCCCACCATATCAGAGATATTCAACAACTCCTATTTAAAGAAGAATCAATGGCAAAGTTTATTCCTTCTAACACTTGGCACACTGTTGGGCTGAGTAGAGCCTGAGTATCTGCTCGGATTTCTACATGCTTGGCTTACTGTACGTAGCAAATATGGTGATTATTTTGAATTCAGAAATGGGCAGAAGTGTTGTTCACTTATGACTTCCTTTCTTTGCAGCAGCCTATTAACATTAAACTAAATAAATACTATAGTCACAGAAAGAAGAAAGGATCATGAAGCAGCTAGACGTAACTGACTGCTAATGCTTTTCCAAGGTGTTGGTAAGCTGTTGTCTTCTTTTCCCTGCTGCTTAGATGCCCAGCCCACAGAAGGAGAACGAGAGATATGGAACCAGATCAGCGCGATCCTCCAGGACTCCGAGAGCATCCTTGCAGACCTGCAGTCTTACAAAGGAGCGGGGCCAGAGATCCGAGATGTATGCCAAGAATAATACCAGCTGACAGCACCCCACCCACAGAAAAGAAAGCCACACAGGCACATACACCCAGAGCAAGATTAAGTAATAGCCCTAGTAATTCCTATGGTAGTAGGAAGAACAAGGAGGGCAATATGCCCTTGACAAAAAAAATGTATGAATGGCCCCTTTTCTTCTAGTATATTAGTTGGAGCCCACAGTGCTGTAGATCATGTAAAACTTTAGCCCTTCTCTTCTCATACATGCATGTGAAGCCGTAGCACTCATATGTGAATTGTCACCATATTACTTCATTGGAGGAACACCTTCCTGTGAAGTCTATGAACAGCAGTTGAAATATGAGTTGTGAAGTCTGAGTTTACATGTTCTTTCCAACATCTTGTAATAATTTTGGCAGCTTCCCCCAGTGTCACACACAATAGCCATAAACCACCTTACTTTAAGTAGTTACAGGTCTGTCCTCACCTAATGTCTTAGGAGATAAAATAAGTAGGTTAATTTAAAAGAAGCAAACAACAACAAAACAAGGAAAAGAGGGGCTATCAGTTGAGCTTTAGAGACATTATTCCGTGTTAGAGACAGCAAGCCTCACACTCCCATTACTAAAATACTGCCCTTTTGGAAATGTCAACAACTGTTTTTGCACGCTTTCCTGTGTGTACCTGCACACACATACAAACATACAAACCCACATACATCCTACCCACTACTGTCCCTATAAAAAGAACACCACTACTGTCGTAGTCCACAAACTGGTACCTCCCGGACAAGAAAGTATTTATAAGAAAGTAATGGAAAATATTAAGAGTTCGTTTTTTTCCTAGGTGAGAATCCCCATTTATTTTAACTAATTTAGAAAAGATTGCAGATGGATATATATATATATATATATATTAGAGAAAGGAAAATATCTACAGAATATATACTTAATCATGAGCACTAAGATACAGTGTGGAGTCATTTACATCATGTTGAAGTATTAACATCTTCCCTGTGTATGAGCCTCTTGAGGGAATAGTCCCCCAAACACATTTCAATTTAAGTAGAATTTATATCAATTTTCATTAACAGAGTATAGCCCGAGATTGTGTAATTTTTTTTTTTGCTACAATTATTTACCAAGTTTGAAGAATTTGATAGAAACCTACTGCTTTTTATAAACGGACAATTCTGTCTTTTTTTTTTTTTTTGTAGGCAATTCAAAACCCCAATGACATTCAGCTTCAAGAGAAAGCTTGGAATGCAGTGTGTCCTCTGGTTGTAAGACTAAAGAGATTTTATGAGTTTTCCATAAGGTTAGGTGAGTATGGGTTTATAGTATTCCTGTTCCACAGCTGAAGTTCTCTGTTGACATTTGAGAAGTTGCATGGGAACTCAGCATATTGGAAAATGCCCCACATTGATCCGTTATGTATGATGAGAGGTCACTCACCTGCCATTTGAATTTCTTTCACTTCACCAGAGTTCCTCCACTGAACTTACTGGCCCATTTAGACTACTTCTTTTTTTTTTCCCATTTAGACTACTTCTAATGGTAGTGTTCTCAGCTATGATGAATTCTTTTTTTTTTTTTAATATTTAACATTATTTTTAAATTGGTTCCCTTACAAAGTTCATATACATGTTTCACACTATTCTTCACTCACATTGTGTTTCATACAATCATTTTCATACATTATATTTTATAAAATCAGTCACCATTGGATATACTAAATTCTTAACAATTTTAATTGTTAAGGCAGGCAGATCACTTTACCAGAAGCTGGAAGAGAGTTTGCCGGCTAGATTCGAAAGGAACTTCGATGGCTGGAGTCATTTGATGAATTTAATGTAATGAAATACAAGAAAAACAAAAGTTCTACCTTATTGTTGTCATGTACCATCGAGTCAGAAATGACCCGTAGCTGTCCCTCTAGCATGGGAGGAGACTGCCCATCCTTCTCCCATGGAGCGGCTGGTAGCTTTAAACCACATGCCTTCCGGATTGCAGTGCAGATGCTGTTATAGGTTTAGCTTGGTTTGGCAAAAGCAAGATAAAGCGAAATATGGTTGCAAACAGTCTCAATGTGACCAGCAGCATGATATTATTAGTGCTCTTTAGAGCAGTAAAACTATCTCAGGCTACATGGTGGTCCAGTGGTAACAAACTGTATTGCAGTCCCACTGGCACACTTTTCCAATCCACCAGCTGCTCCATAGGAGACGGATGGGCAGTCTCCTTCAGTGTGATTTACTGCCTCTGAAAACCCACTGGAGGGTCAGCTCTGAGTCACTTCTGACTCGATGGCACACAACAACAACAACAATAGATCAGGAAAAGGAATAGTCAGGGTCTATCCCACCTTTGTCATAAAATGAGTGTCACATTTTAAAAGGAAAACAAGAGGAGCTGAAATGACTCAAAACTAAGTGTGAAGGACAGTGTCGAATGAACTGAGTCAATTTTAAAAAAGAGGACTTTGAAAGACTCAGATACAGGAAGGATTAACTAATATCTGTGTTGGTTGGTTTATGGGTTTTATTTTTTCCTAAAAGTGTAGGTCTAGGCTGAAAAAATTGGAATGTTGAGGAGTTAAGTTTTAGTTCAACAGAGGGAAAAAGACTCCTTGGAATTGCAGTAGGCCAAGGTTGCTTGAACTGGTTGCCTTAGAAGACAGTGAGTTCTCATAAATGAAAATATTTAACAAAGATTGAAAGTATCCTTTAAAAAGCTGCTGTAGAAAGCATTTAAGGTCTGTGTGGTAGCAAACTGTCTGAACATTATCCATAATTCAGATGCTGTGAGTATCTTTACTGCTACCTGATTGTGTTGTTGTAAGACAAACACAGCCACCAGCAATCCATAAGTTAAGGAGTATATAGATTCCAGTAATGCTGTGTTTACAAAGATAAGACATAAGCTAGATTTACTCTGTGGACTAATATTTTTCTAACCCCTGGCATAGAGGACTGTTTAAATGACTCAGTTGTTATTGTGTGCCGTTGAGTCTGAACCAACCTATCGCTGACCCCTCCAGTGGCTTATCAGAGGCAGTTAATCACAGAGGAGGAGATTAACCACCCTTCTCCCATCCTACTCCCAGCAGAGTAGTTGGCGAATTCGAACTGTGTGCCTTCAGAATTGTTGTATAGCGTCTTATGGCTAGGTTAGAAAGATAGCAAAGAGAAAATTGAAAAGAGTTCTTAGAAATGGACAAAAGAGAGTAGTGAATTGCAAGGACAATGATGGGGAAATATCCTGTGGTGGTTGTGTGTGAAAATAGACCTAGAGTGTAAATTTAGAGAGGCATTTATATGGGACCCAGATCCTTTCTCTGCAAAGCAGATCATCATCTGCTCTGTGTGTTCCAGGCTGCTGCCTTATCCCACACGCACATATTTGCAAATGTGTTCTGGGAATGTTTGCAATTAAGACTACTAAATATGTGAGACTTAAAGAGACAGATTTATAGAACACTTTGGCTGTAGGAGGCTTATGCAATGGAGGCAGTGTGCTTGTTTGTTGTTGTGAGCCAACCTGTTCATATTCTATCTGAAATTTTAACTATAGCTGAGAATTGTGTTATCTGTCGGATTTCTGTGCACCATCTTATATTTATATTTATCCTTTTACCTTTCAGAAAAAGCTCTTCAGAGTTTATTAGAATCCCTGACCTGTCCACCCTACACACCAACCCAACACCTGGAACGGGAGCAAGCCCTGGCAAAGGAGTTTGCAGAAATCTTACATTTTACCCTTCGATTTGATGAGCTGAAGGTTGGGCCAAAATGACCTTTGATATTTAATAACAAATCTTAATTGGTACCTACCTACCTTATGCAGCCAGTGCTATGGTGTGCTAAAGCTAATGCTTTGGGGTGAGAAAATAGAGAAATAACACACATAGTGCCTGTCCTAGAGGGACATGTAATGGGGTGAGAATTTACATTCCACAGATTAAAACTAATTAAAGAGAGTGATATGCTTTCAGATTAAAATATCTGCTAAATGCAATAAGAGAAAATGCTTTTCAAGTACTTGTTCCCTAATAAAGACAAATAGACATTTACTGTAGGGTCTTAAACTCCTTTCATTGTTAGCAAGTTGGAGCTGACACATACCAGAACCTCCAGCAGGTTTTTCGAAGGTGCCAGTCGCACAGAAGGAGATTGTCCATCTTTCTCCTGCAGAACCAGTAGTGAATTGAAAATGCCCAGAGGCACTGACTTTGGGTTAGCAGCACAACTGTCTGTGGACTAAGCCACCACAGGTTTTTTTACTTGAGTGTAGTCCACAAAAAGGAGACTGGTTTAACACGTAGTTTCAAAGCACCTAATGAATGTCTCCTTCTGATGTTGAGGACAACTTCCTCTCCTCTGCTCTGGATTTCAGATGAGGAACCCAGCTATTCAGAACGACTTCAGTTACTACAGAAGGACAATAAGTCGTAACAGGATCAACAACATGCACGTGAGTTTTCAGGTTTCCTGGACCTTTGCACTCTTCTCCATGACTATTTTGTTTTCTATTATCTGGAGGTACAGAGAAGAAAATAGGACATTTTTGTCTATAGTTCATTTTGGAGATGATGGCATTTGGGAGTTTTGACAAATTGCATCTTCTCATCTTCTTTTAATCAGCTAGACATTGAGAATGAAGTCAATAATGAAATGGCCAATCGAATGTCCCTCTTCTATGCAGAAGCCACACCAATGCTGAAAACTCTTAGCAATGCCACAATGCATTTTGTCTCTGAGGTAAGTCTGAACAATAGGTGCTCCTTTCTTAATTACACATGAAAGCTGCTAGCAGGACTAATAGACATATGCTTGTGTCTCCCATTTAGAACAAAACCCTGCCAATAGAGAATACCACAGACTGCCTCAGTACAATGACAAGTGTCTGTAAAGTCATGCTGGAAACTCCGTAAGTTAAATCAAAGTTATGACTCCTTGTTATGAATCCACCCAACTAGGATATACTGTCCCAGGAAGAATATCTGTTGGTGGTAAAGATGATGATGATGATGTTGTTGTTGTTAGGTGCCGTCAAGTTGAGTACGACTCATAGTGACCCTATGAACAAAAGATCTGAACCCTGTTCTATCCTGCGCCATCCTTGCACTTCCTGATACCCAAGAGCCCATTGCAGCAGTCACCGTGTCATTCCACCTGGTTGAGGGTCTTCCTCTCCTTCACTGACCCTCCAGTCTTGCCAGCATCATGCCCTTATCCAAGGAATAATCCCCTCCTAGCAACATGACCAAAGCATGTGAGGCAAAACCTCATCATTCTTGCCTCCAAAGAGCACTCTCCAAGACATATCTGTTTGTTCTCTTGGCCGTCGATGGGATATTCAGTGCTCTTCTGCAAAGATGGCATCTAACTTTAGGATCAACGCATTGAAGCTTGCATTTGTATCATCTTATTTAATCTCAAAGAGCTCTGGATAATGTATATGTAGACATCTTTGCCCAAGGTTCCCTGTGACAAGTGTCTGTAAAATCCTGCTAGAACCAAAAAATGAAACTAGTAAACCTGTTGCAAGAATGACAATAGAGGTTTCTCTCTATCTCCTTCCCCATTTGCCATGCAGTTTATTCTACCTAAGAGAAGCTCTGATAATAAGGTGGTTAAGCTTTAGACTGTGAACCAAAAAGTAAGTGGTTTGAATTTTAACAGTCACTTCACAGGAGAAAGATGTTGGCAGCCAGCTTAGCATAAAGATTTACAGCCTTGGACACTTCATGAGACAATCCTACTCTGTCCTATATAAGGTGACTGAGTGACTTATTAGTAGCAATAGTTAATCAGTTAAATCAATTCTTTGGTTAAAGAAATGTATGATATTATTAGGGACAAGACTGCATAGTAATGGAGAAAGGTGTACTCAAAAGCTCTAGTTTCACTGATATCTCTGATCCTTCATTTCCCTATGGACAAATGGTCTGACCTCTCTGAACTTTGGTTTCCTATCTAATTGTGTGCCTATAACGCCACCTACTGTGTAGAATGTTTGAGAAATACTGACAATACCCAGTGCAAATGGGAGATGGCATTAATTTCAAATATTTCACTTATGCCAAAGTTAAGATTTATCCCAAAACAGAAATAGTAATCATCTTGATTTTGAAGCCAATTCATAATGAAATAGATGCTATGGAAGCCTTTAGAATTGGCCTGAGTTATCGTAATCATCAGAGATGTTATCTCGTAGTAAGTGAGCTAAATGAGCAAAATTCAACCACCACAAACACTCTCAGCTCAGTGAATGGTATATAATTCCTTTTAGATAACCTTGCCAATCGACTTCCATCTGCAGTCTGTCTTAACAAAGGAAGTTACTATAACTGGAGATGTGATAGCCACTCTGCAGAAATGAGCCTGCTTCTTTTCCTCCATAATGAAGCCATTATTCTCTCTAACGGTGGACAGAGGGACCTGCTATAAAATATTCAAGATTGATGGGCAAGGGAGTGGTGTGCATGATCAGCCGACCTGCTGAAGGGCAGAAGAGAATTTACTGCCCTTTAATTTACTTTATTTTCCCTCTGAATTGCTGGTTGAATGGATTCAAGGAGAATCATCATGATGAGTTTCTTTAAAAGCATATTAACCCAGTTGTTGCAGGTCTGGGATTGTTCTCCAGAGAGGGTTGGAAGACTCCCGTGTAGTCAGTTGTGGGGCCTCATGGTGAGCCTGTGCTGACAAGGAAGTAACCCTGCTGCCCTCTCCTCTCTCTTCCAGGGAATACAGGAGTAGGTTTACGAGTGAGGAAACACTGATGTTCTGCATGAGGGTAATGGTGGGGGTCATTATCCTCTACGACCACGTCCATCCTGTGGGAGCTTTCTGCAAGACCTCCAAGATTGATGTAAGAGAAGCTGGGGGCAAGGTGGTGGGGCTTTCCAAATAGGTACAAGAAAATGAGACCAAACAGACCTGGCTTCTCCCAGCTCTCACCCACTCCTACTTAGAGTAATCCTTCACAGTCCTGCGGCCCTGTGGCCATTCTCTTTACGGCACCAAGTCCAGTCTTTTATGTGTGCTTATAAGACAAACCTAAGGGTAGCAGTGATCCTAAGATACTAATTCCCTTTAACCCTTGGCAGAGTGGAGCAGTTAAACAGTCACTTAGCTTCCAGCTTCTCCTTTCATTTACCTATTTTCCCCGTGTCTCACACCCCCATTCACATGTGCCCGCACGCACACACGTTTCCTTCATGTGAAGAGTCGTGACGTTGGTTGTTAGGTACCATGGAGTCACCTATGACTCACAGCGACCCTATGAACAACCCTATGCCTCTCCTGTACCATCCTCATGGTCTCTGATACGCTTGAGTCCATTGTTACAGTCACTGTGTCAATCCAGCTTGTTGAGAGTCTTCCTCTCTTTCGGTGACCCTCCGTCTTCTCCGGCCTGATGTCTTTGTCCAAGGACTGGCTCCTTCCAACGAGATGTCCTGAGTATATAAGGCCAAGTTTCACCATCCTCACCTGTGACATACTGAATTACAAAGCTTAACCAAGTCTTCAATAATCCTTCCAGCTTCTTATCCCATGATTTCTTTAACTTGGTTTCCATGTCTTGTCATCTTGAGTATGCTTGAGCCCTTCTTCCTGTCCAGCACATTCCTCTTCTTTGAGAAGCAAAATCCTCAGAAATCACTCCCCAAATGCAGCCTCACTGAAGGACATATTTCCTACTTGCTTTATGGATTAGAGCTTTCCTTTCTTCTGGTCTGTATAGCACTTACTATTTTGTATTTCCCGGCTCCCTCAACTCTTTTATAATAAGGACAGAGATCATTCTTTACAACCTATTATCTGTTCTACTGCCTAGCATGATCTTTGGCACATGGTATATATAGCATTAAATAGTCTATTTCCCATAGAGATTCTGCTGAGTAAATAAATATAGCCAAAACCCACATAACTTTCAGGCTTTCTTGTGGACTGTGGGATAAAGGATACATCCTCTTGACCCAGAATTGACCTATAGCTTCAAACCCTATAGTGTATTCATTGGTTTTACTTACAGCCTTTTAAGTCCCAAGTAGGTCTTCCCTTCACTAACATATCCTGACATGGCTAAATTTGGGTAACACACTCTTTCATTGATCTGCACAGAATAGCATCTTTGACACTCTAGCACTGTGTAGAAAGTCTAAAAGCCCACAGCTGCCAGGGTTATGAAGAATGCAAGGAACTTAGTTATATATTAAAATGCAGCTTATGGCACTGACTTTGAAATTTTGCTTTCCTAGCACAACTGGACATGACTTTTAAGAGAATACTTGAGACATTTTTGTTTTAAAGGAAAGTATTACATGTTATTTTTTTATCATTGCTATTGACAGTTCTCTTCATAGCAAGAAGAGAATATATAGGAAATAAAACATGTCGGAAGAACCGCTAAACATACAGTTCCATTGGTGATAAGTATTATCATCATGTTGTTCAACAATCACAACGCATGACAGTTTTATTATAATTATTTTTACTCCCTGTGACAATAAGAACTTGTTAGACAAAATTTGGGAAATACAGATAATTAAATTTTCATAACCTTACCACTGACAGATGACAACTTTTATAATAAAGCAACATATATATATATGCCTGACCTTCTTAAGTACTGCTTGTGTTTGTATGTATATACATACCACATGAGGACCATACTATGCATGTCGTTTTAAAGTACATTTAATTCTCTTACCAGTATACTGTGAAAAAGTTTTGGCAGTAAATTCATTTACTATAGCTTTATCATTTTTAAACCATTGATTGAGTATATGTAATTCTTCTATAATTTGAATATGTACTGAATTTGTTGTTGTTGTTGTTGTTATGTGCCGTCGAGTCGTTTGCAACTCATAGCGACCCTATGCACAATAGTGGCTGGTAATTGTGAAACCCATCAGCCGCTCTGTGGACAAAAGATGAGGCATTCTGCTTCCATAAAGATTGACAGACTTGGAACCATGCAGGGCAGTTTTATTCTGCATTATCGGGTCACTGTGAGGAAGAATTGACCTAAAGCCTGTGAAAATCATAGGATAAGAAACTCTGATGATGACATGACTAGGGCCTTAGGTACTAGCCAGAAGTTTGGTGTTTCAAATCCACCAGTGTTTCTGCAGAAGGATGGGATAGTCTACTTCCAAAGTTATCCCAAAGCCTTGGAAATCCTGTGGGGCATTTCTACTCTGTCTTGTGACTCAGAATTAACTTGGCAGTCATGGTTGGATTTGGGTGCTGGTTTAGTCATAAGAAATTCTAATCAGACAGTCATAGCTGGGTTTTGGTGGTTTTGTTTTTTGTTTTGTTTTGTTTTTTAAGTCTGCCACAGAGTTGACCATTAAGAAAGACACTGGCTATAATTACATATTTTAGCTCTGGTCTTTTGAGTACTTGGCTTTACTTGTCATTTCCTAGGTATCTCTGACCAGTTCCTAAATAGTACCCAATGTGGACTCTAACCAAACAGTCTGGATGAGTCTACCTGTGTGTGCAGTTATCTTATTTTGTTTCATATATATGTATTATAAAGGTTGTATTTTATATAAAATATATGTATATGTATATAGTGTTTTGTTTGTTGTATAAACAAGGTGTGTGTGTGTGTGTGTGTGTGTGTGTGTATGTCTAAGAAAGTTTTAGGTCTACTTAAGAACAAATATATTCAAGATGGGCCATTTATTTTAATGATATAAAGTCCCAGTCTTCTAGGTCCTAGTCTATTTCTAGGCCAGTAATTGCAAGCACTGTGTTTATAATTTTTCAGCATCAACATAAGACACAGATACTCATTCGTCAAACCCTGAAATAAACATTGTAGGTGCACTTAAGAAAACATGTCTTGGAACGTAAAGCAGTGTAGTGAGTGCATGAAGGAGAAGTACATCTGCTTAGAGGCAATGGCAGGCAGGTACCAGAGTGGTTTTGAGGTGGACCTCGAAAAGAGTGTAGGATTGTCCTAAGTGGATAGATTAAAGGGCAGTACGACAGGCAGCTGGAGAGAGGACGAAGGACACACAAGTGTTGAGGACTTTCCTTCATAGGGTCGCTATGAGTCACCTACGACTCGATGGCACTTAACAACTACAGGCAGAGAGAGTTGTCAGAGTAAGGTTACTGTGACCCCAGAGGGTGTGGAATAATCGACGGTGCCAGGAAAGTCAGGCTACAGTTAGACATTGTTTTAACCATTTTCCTTAGAATTCATGAAATAATCTACGTATACATTCCTTAATGTTTGTCCCTGCTCAGATCTCACTCATAAATCTAGACCTTACATTTTCTGACCACCTGAAGCATGGCATATGCCCCAAACTAAAGATTATCTTCCACCTGCTTTAGCTCTTTGGTTGCCTGCCCCAGGTGTTACACCATCTTCCAACCAGTCTCTAAGGCCCAAACCTAGGGATTGTTCTATTTTCCTTCTTTCCTGTCAGCCCCCATAATCCATTAGTCATAAAGTCCAGTGGAATCTATGTCAGGTTAGTCCGTCCACTCCTCCCTTGTCCATGCCCACTCCCTCTTTGTACATCATACCCTCACAGGTTCTCCTGTGCTTCTAGCACGTTATCTCATCATCCATTTTATTCCCACGATTCCTTTTTCTATTAGTCTCATCACCAGGTTGTTTATCATCTCTCAAGACCTCCATTTTCTACAGGTCTAGGCCCCAAACTCCCTAGCATGATATTAGATTTACCTTGTTAACAGCCTAACTGCATCTTAGCATTCCCTCCCATGCACTCAATCCTGGAATCGCCCTGGATTACAATTATAAACAGTAAAAGTATTCTTATCTCTCTGTAACATTTTCCCTACATCTTTATTCTCACCCCCCATTAGGTTTATTTTAGGTAATGATTCATCATAGTAGGTATCTGTCTTTTTTATGTCGTTAAGCCATGAATTCTTATAGTATAGGAACCAAAAATCTTCCTTCCTGCTCCTTCGTTTTTCTTTCTCTGTGTACCCATACATAACCTGCTATATAGAGTCTCCCCTTCTACACCCGTTACAGAAAGCTCTAATTGACCACAACATTCCTTCTTGATGAGACTCCATATGAACCTCAAATGATTCTCATCTCTGTGGTCTCAGCTGTCTCCATCAATCCACCGGGGGTTTATCAGGCCTTTGAGATAAGACTTTGATATACTAGAAGCAGGCCCACAGAAAATATTTGTTTATAAGGATTATTGCAAAAGAGACTCTTAATATAACTAAATCCAGTACATGAACATCAGTTTAGAATGAGTCTCATATTGGCAGAAAAACTCTTGCTTGCCAAAGAACCCACTACCGAATATATGTAATATAATGTGGTCTACATAAATTTAGTTTTCCATGCACTTCTCAAATTATGAACATGTTATATTGTATTCCAGAGGCACAAAAGCCAATAAACAAAGTGCCTGTGTTTCTGAGGATATTAAACCACAGGAGATGAAACCCAGTCACTGTACCTCCATATGGTTTACATTTTTTAACCATTGTTCTTTCCTGCCTCTTTAAGATGATTAAAATGTAGATCTGCACTTCTGGGAACTTAGAATCTAGTAAGGGAGATGAATTTGGGCATTAAGATTTCCAAGGTTCTCTGATAAATTCAATGATACCATGTGAAATGGTACCAAAAAAAAGATAAAATGTTTAATGGCAACAAGTTAGAGATGACAATTTAAGCAGAATCTTGAAGGATGGGCAGGCAGGCAAAACGGTCTGAGAGCAGACATTTTGGTAGAAAGATCTGTGTGCTACTACCTGATGAAGGCAGTGAGGTCAGGAAAGGGCTTTTAAAGTTAGTGAAGTCCCAAAAGTATTAACTGGATTTGCCAATCAAATAGCTAAGGATATGAAAGGGACTTGGTGTAAAATTATCAGAATTTAATCTCCAGAGTAAATATTAAGTGAGTATCTACTACAGGGAAACCATATAATTGTGTCTCAGAGTACAAAGAAAGAAGATCAAAGCCTCAGGTTTTCCCTCCCAGGCCAATGAAAATATACAACTGTAATATACTGCGGAAAGTAGTATGAATAAGATGGAGAATTTGGAAGAGCAACTCATCCACCTGAGGGAGTAGAAAGGTTTGTTGATCATTTCTATGTTAGATTCCAAAGGACAAAAATAAAATGCCATTATCATAGACAAACACTATTATAGGTAGGTATTAGCATATTAGTGTAAAGGCTTTAGCAAAATACTAACAAAACCTTGTATTTTCTCTTCCTAGATGAAAGGCTGCATAAAGGTGTTGAAGGAACAGGCCCCAGACAGTGTGGAGGGTCTGCTGAATGCCCTCAGGTGAGCTCCAGCCACCCACTTGCTATGGGACAGAGGCACTCCCCTGCAAACCTATTGCAAATTTAGCGTACTTTGGGGGACCAAGGGTTGGAACACCAGGCTTAACTCCTTTGCATCTTCTAAAATACTTAACTTTTCAATAATGTGATGAGGTCAGCATCATGGGGTTTTACTATTGTTATTGTTTTGTTATTTTCCTCAATAGAAAAAAACTAAAGCAGAGAAGTCAAGTAAATTGGTCAAAGACATGCAGAAAATAGCTTAGCTAAATCTCAGTCTCTTTTGGCCCACAGTCTTGGCCTAACTCCCAGACACATTGATTTGCAGTTAGTGGTACTCTTTTTCAGAAGCTCATGTTCCCCTTTACCAGTGGTCCTCAACTCTGTATGTGAGAGACATGGTTCTTAAAAACACAGATACCAAGGTTCTAGTTCAGACTGACTCAGAATCTGAAGACAGACACAGACACCCAGCTTCTGGTCGTTCTAACACTCCTGAACTGTTTGCAGCCAGAGTTGAGAACTCTCTGTTCTACACTTTCCAGATACCTGGGCGTGTGGTCAGCTTGTTATAGATGTCCACTGTTGAAAAATCCCAAGTGTCTCTGCATCTCTATGCTTACCACAGAGGCATGTGGCTTCATTTACTTGAGGAAAGAATTTTTGTTTTTAAGCTGTGTTACATCTACATGTTGTTGAATCACTACTACTTTGCGACTTATTCCAATGCTGGGTTGGAAGTTTCGTGGTTCCTGCTATCTTATTCAACTTGGATTTCCCTAGTTCCTTGCAGCTTTGTGCATGTGATAAGTGTTCTGTGAGTCAGTAGTAATCCTATAAATATGGTTCACATTTATGTTTAATGCTCCACTTCTCATCGCAATGTCTCACTTAATCACTACAACTCAAGAGTAGCCCACTACCCCTATTTGATAATTAAAACTGAGATGCACAGATTCTGAGCTTGTCACTATTCTGAGGGATAATGGATCATCACCCTTCAGAACAGATTTACGTAGCTTCAATGTAAGAGATTTTGAGATTCTCTAGGTAGCCCAGGACTTGCCACCTATGGCACCCATTTCATACCTTGCTGGTTTTCCGTGCAGGAAAAAGGAAGAGGAATTTAGCTTGTGAAGGGTTAGAATTTTCCAGAGTTTCACTCAAGTAAGCAGAATTCCTTTGAGAACAAGGCATTAGGCAGTGAATTCTGTTCATTATTGCCGTTTGTATCTCCTTTGGAAACTCTGAAGAGATTTTAAAACTACAGGTTTTCAAGACAACAAGACCTAGGATTGAATCCAAATGCACAAACTGTTCACAAATCACAGATGTCTAGCTATGCCGTGTAAAATGGGTCCATTAACCTTTGTGAAACTTAATTTTCTCAAATGAAAAACAATAACTAATCTCTTTGTATTAACAAGTTAAGGCTGGCACCTAGTCTGTAGGGAGTTGTGCTGCTAAAACCGAAAAATTGAACTTCTCTGTCGGGTCCAATCAACCAGCGCCTCCAAGGAAGTAATACGAGCAGTCTCCTCTCGAGGGTCCCTATAAGTTAGTTCTGACTCCAGAGCATTCAGACAGACAGACTGACAGACAGACAGACAGAGAGCCAGGGAGGATGAGAGATAACAAGTTGTTATACTGTGTCACAATTTAAATTAAAGCTTAGATCAAGTGTCCAGAACATGATGAAAGTTTTATTATATACAGTTTGGATGCACAGTGACCATTTTTGTCTCTTTGCTCTTGCCTGCATATTTGCCCCCTTGTGGTGGCAACAAGCATAGGCATTGCCACAGAGTCACTTACTCATTCATCGCCATTTAGTCAATTCTGATTCATTCTGACCCTCCATCAGGTTTCGGAGGCTGCTGTAAATCTTAACAGAAGGAGACTTCCCATCTTTTCCCTGTGGAGCATCTGGTGCATTAGAACCACTGAAAACGTGTGGTCTTTTGAATAACAGCACAACACGCTACTGACTACTACACCAGAATTCCTCAGGAAATTACAAACGTTTAAGTTTGGGGTTATTTTGTTAAGCAAATTTAAATCTTGACATTTGTGACTTGGCAGGTGAAGCTTAGATGCTTGATATTCTGCACCCAATCAGGTAAAGACCGCCTCCCAGAAAATGAGATTGCTTACATCTCCTCTGTGTAATTATTTGACTAGGTAGAAGGTCTGCTTGTTTAATAAGTCTAATACAAAACTCCTTTGGAAGGAAGAATCAAATACTAAATCTGCCCCAAGAATACCCCGGGCATTGAAGTGTGACTCTTTTGTCTAAAGAACCAAGTTGGAGTTTGATTTATAAATAGCAGCCGTGTTTCTCAAGGTAAAGATGAGCTGGCAAGTCATTATTGAAACTTTCATAGACTATTATTTGCACAGTGACCTCCATCCTTCTCTCTCCATCAGGTTCACTACAAAGCACTTGAATGATGAATCGACTTCCAAACAGATTCGTGCAATGCTTCAGTAGAGCTCCGCTCTGAGAAGAGGATCTATGTACTGACCTCAGAAGATGTATATGTTTACATAATTTAATACAGATTGATGTTAATACTTGTGTATTTACATAACCATTTCCTTCTTGACACTGAAATATATGGACTTTAATTTGTATCCTGACTGACTCAACCCAGCACAGCATAAATTGACTTGAGAGCCTTACTTTTGATGTTTGAATTGAAATCCCCTGCTCCAAAGGCAAATTTTAGAGACTTTGATCTTTGCTACTGGAGTCCTTTAACTGCACCTGTAACAATCACAAATCCCTGGTAGTTTGTGATAGTGTTTCAGTTCTAGATGTGTTTTTGCCCTGGTAGTTTATAGAAACACAAAATATTTTATTTTCTGTCTTCACTCAGCGATAAGAAACACAATTGTTATTCTGAAACAGGGAGAGGATTCAAAAGAAAAAAAGAGAAAATGCATGTGTGGAGAATCAAACTTAAGTAATTTGAATTCAGAACACCCCTCTCTCCTTCCTCAGACTGCAAAGCACTCGTGCAAGTTTTCTGTTGGCACATGTCTTACATATCAACATATTCCCTCTCGGGTCTAGATTTATAGCCCTCTAGTACTGACTTTTAATTTTGGAAGAGGAAAATGAACCTGTATTTTAATCAGTTCCTAAGAAATATGTGGAATAGGTAACTGTGTGACTGTAGCTGGGCTGATGAAGATGGTGACCTTGGAAGTGGGAGGCAGGTGAGGAGGAGGGGCACCCAGCCAAGAGGACACAGTCATCATGCTGTTTCAGACCCCAGCCTTGAAGCACAAAGACATAGAACACGGACTCTGAAATGATGATGGTGCTTTCTGTTTCTTTCCTGAGCATTGAGAACTCCCCCAGAACCAATGGTCATCAAGTCACTTGTGACTCACGGTCACCTCGTCTGTGTCAAAGTAGAACTGAGCTCCCCAGGATTTTCAGTGACTGCTCTCTTGGCTTTGCATCCCCACACAAGTCTTCCAGGACACTTCTCTGTGGACTCAAGCTTTCTAAACTTTCAGTTGATGGTTCAGCGCAAAGAACTGAAGTGATTGAAGGTGAAGGGAAGAAAAAACAACTATATATTCTGGATGCCTGCTGTTTAAAGTCCAGCTTCTCCCACACCTCCCAGTCAGCCTGATGCTCTGTGTAAGCCTCTGTCCTCCCCGTCCATATCTGGAGTCTTGGCCTTGCCCTGTTAATGAGCCATAGTGCGATACTGGAAAATTTGCCTAAGCTGTCTGTGTATCATATCCTGATTAAAACAGATGATCTCCAAAGAGTCTCTTTAAGGCCATAAGCCAAGAAAATGACTAGTTGCACCTTTCTTCTTTTAGTAAGCCAAGTCTCCTAAGCCTTACTCCACCTTATCTTGATGATTAACAACATTGCAAGGCCTTGAGTTAGTATTTTATGTACATAAGAGAATTCAAGTATGGAATTCTGGAAAATGTCGATTCTCACCTCCAGTGGAAAAATGAGACAAAAGAGGATCCAGATTTATATGCCTCAATGTAGGACCAGAACCCACAACGTTTCGGTCCAGACATTGTGTTCTCTCTTTTCCACCATGTGGCCCATGGATGCATGATGAGACTGCATTTTTTTTAAACTCTGATTTATTTACAAAGTTTGAGTACATTGTTTTTCACAAAAGATCCTTCCCATTTCCTTCACCCTCCACCCATCGAATTGTGCAACTCCCTCCTTCTGATTGAAGAAAGGGGAATCCAGACAGAAAATGAGAGTTCTGGAAGTTGAGTCTTGAATCTGGGTACAATATAGTTTGACATCAATAGCTATTAACCAAGGGATGAATTGTCAAGCACAAATGGTATCTGGACTTTGGTGACCAGCTGACACTCCTTAAAAGAAGGAAGAAGGAAATATTTCTTATTGCTGTGGTTTTGGATTTTTAAAGAAAAAGAAATAAATGCAGGCAAGTGGTAGGACAGTAATAGCATACATATTCATTGATCTGTATCTAAGCATAAGTCAACAGAGGACCGATCCTTTTCCCTGGAGCCATTCAAGCCAACCTACCATAAATGGCTACTTACGTTCCGTTTTCTTATCTAAACAGACATACAATATACAGCCTTTGAGACCTTTTCAAGCCACAGGGATTCTAAAGCCCTACAGAAATGAAGAAATTGGGATAATTCAGGTGAGAAAATTTAGTGGCTGTTTGGTTTAAGAAATGACCTTTTATACAGAAGTCACAGTAGGGCCTAGGCAAACAGCTGCCAAGACTAGAATCATAGAAGTGTTATCAAGTTTACAAGCATTGGGTCCATTTCACTCCTTAACCAGGTTAGGGGAGAGATCAGGAAAGAAATAGACTTGCATCTATCACAGAGGTCATGAGACACAGAAATGGTTCTTGAACCAAATGGTCTTTACCACAACTGCCTCTCAACTGATTCAAGAGATTATGTTAGGGCTTACCTGTCAACATTTTTTAAAAAGAAAAATATAGAAGAGTAAATAGTTGAGCATATGGGTAATTTTTAATTAGAATGTCTATCAAGTGGGACCAAACATAGGGAAGGGCTGCTGGTGTGTCCCAGTTTAGCCAGACCACTTTGTCTCATAGCCAAGAAACACCAACACATAGATTCTGAAAAGCCCAGGTATCAGGTTGCCTCTGGTTATCAGTTGGACAGGTTAACTGAATGTCTGTGATCACTAACAGGTGGTAGGCCTTGAGCCCACCCCAGAGCTACTGTGGGAGACAAATTCCTTTAACAGACTGTCCACAAGGCATCAGAATCCTTAAGCATCACAGTTATTTGTGCTGCATGTATATGTGTGTGTTACATGTGTTCAAGACCTGTGGGTGATGTAAGGGAAAGTGCCAGGACAGTGTCAACATGTTAACCATACTTCACAATTGATGTCTCATTGTTTTCAGATGGACAGTGTTTTTCATGGCTTTGATATTTATTTTTTGACAAGCAACAAGGTGGAAATGCCACTTCTCTGACACACTGCTACTTCGATATTATAACTCTGTTCTCAGAAAACTTTCATGTGTCAGTCAGCACTAGAAATTAATAAAACAAGTAGAAATGAATGTTTTTTTATTAAACTGACCCATTAGGGCTACAGTATTTAATGAGCAGAATGTTTTAGATATCTTTTTAATAAATAGTTACTATCATTGTCCCCACAATGCCACCTAGTCTTCATCACATCAAGACAATAATAGTAAATGGAGGTACCTTGTCATAGTGATATAAAAATAATCCCATGTTCCATCAAAAGAAATGTGAAATCTGCTAATCTTGGATCCCAGTTGTGCAATATAAACCAGAAATTTCTCATTGACTATTTCATCCTAGACAGCTACTAATTTTTCAAGATGTCAATAATTCACGTTGAAATTTTACCTTAGGAAGCCAAAAAGATTGGAATCCCAATTTCCCTGCTGCATCTATAAAAATTGTATACACAAAGCTGTCCTGAAATTGTCATATGTTTGCTGATGTCATTGTAATTATTTGCCTGCTTTGCCTCTTTTTGTACAGACGTTTTGAGTGTGAAATGAAATTAAAGTTTGGTACATATATTTAAAAAAAAGGGTGTCTCTGTTTTATCTGACATTCATGATTAAGTAATAAACAAATGATCACTAGTCTGCTGCATAGAGGTATGGCAGGTAACTGTTCTGGGGACCAGGAAGTCACACAATATGCCCGTGTAACCCTCTCTAAGTCTCAGTTACTTTAAAAAACAAAACAAAACAAAAAGTACCCAAAGTATACCATTGTTGGAATTCAGTAAACCAAGACTTTTCAATATTAAAAAAAAGAAAAGGGGGGGAACCAAGACAGAAAACAGTCTAGACCAACATCCAGACATGCATGTGACCTTGTTCAGGGTTGTTAAGAAACTAAGATTCTTTTTCTTGATTACACACACACACACACACACACACACACACACA